AAAAAAAAAAAAAAAAAAAAAAAAAAAAAAAAAAAAAAAAAAAAAAAAAGAGCAGCATCATAAGGATAAAAAATTGAAAAAAATCAATAAGCAAATAGCTAAAATACAAGGTGCTGTGGGGGCTTGAAGGGGAAAACATGCCCCATCTGAGCCGGAGAATGGCATACGGGAGAAGGTAGAAAGGATGCAGGACTCTCAGGAGATGAGTAGACACAAGGTCTGGAGCCACTCCAGCTAGCTTGGAAGCTTACAAGCTTTCTGGTCTGGGGAAAGCCATATAAGTTTAACCTCTCTGCAATGAAAAACAATGAAGAAAGATAACCTGCTCTGCCTACCCCATAGCTTGTTGTGAAGACCAAATAAGCACATCAGAGTGCTTGGAAACTGTGAAGGAGTATGATCCTATTATTACAATTTACTGGCCCATTATTTCCATCTTTTCAAATAAGAAATGTTTTCACAGTAAAGCTGGCATCACATTTGATATAGAGCAACTAAAGTTCAGTGTCTTGAACTCCACTTGCAGAGTCTGTTCTCAGCTCAGCAACTCCACTGGGATTTGGAGACAGTAGTAGGACCAAGTGCTTCTCTGAAGGCTGACAATGAACCCCTGAGCTCAGAGTTCCGTGTTTGTTATGTGACTAAGTCTGTCAGCAGCACTCAATATTGTCATGTGAAGCTGGGATATGAAAAGTGTACTTTCCTGTCTCATAGCTCATCTTTCCACTAGCTTATTTCATAGAGACTTGTGTGCTTATATACTTCCTCTGAACTACTTTATCAGGGATGATTCAAGTATTTTAAGTGTTTCATTGCTGCCAATAGAAAAAGTTCAAAGCACACGGATGTTGGAAATTTTAGAGGATATGGGTGAGGTACTAGCATCACCTTTCCCTCTATTTTTTCCCCTCTCAGCATAAATGGCCTCCTTTATGACTTTATAATAGACATTAATTACACTCTAAACTCTGAAATCACTTGGGGATTTCTATAATATATGTAAACTTCCTTTTTTATTGTATTTTTGTAGCACTGGATCGAATCCTGTTAGATCATCAGAAGTCAGCTCTCTATGGACAAAGGATGCTCTAGTTGGGTGGGACATCAGAGACAATTAATTTCAACCACAAAAGAGAAGACCAAGACTCAGCAAGCATAGTTTTCCAAAATCACAAAGAGAGTTGGTAGCAATGTCAAGATTTGACCCAGTGTCCCAATTCCTAACTCAGGTTCCTTGCAGGACACTCTGCTATGATAGATCTACAATTAAGTGACCTTAGTTATCACTGGACATTTACTAAATAATGTCAGTGGGTCAGCCTTTATATACACTTAATCCATCGCCTTATGGGGTTAGCCATCTGAAAGCCCCTTAATACTATACAGCTTTCTTTATTTTTCCTATAGATATTATCCATGCACTTGCTCTCAATCGCAAGTTAAACGTTTTCATGAGCATTTTAAATGACTCCCTATTCCTGCCCAATTTCTTATATCTCAGAAATATAAATTTAAGGTTCTACATTTTGGACCATTATTTTAATCATGTTTTTAACTTGGTAAGATCCTGAATGTAAAAGTAGGGGTTACCTTTTTTAGATACTTAGGCTATCAATTTTTTTCTCTCTCTTAAACATTTGAGAATATATGTTTTTGAATCCTTGTAGAACTGGCTTCATTATACTCATATATTATGTATACTACATTACTGAGATAAAAGTACTCTATTAAAATCACAGATTACACTAATAACATTGACAGATTTATTATATAGAACTATGCAATTAGAAGAGTGAGTGACTGATAGTAAGATCAACCATAATTATTAGCTAGGGAAAAATTACCAAGATCGATAGATTTAGATAATATATTCATTTGTCTCTTCAATTAAAGAAAGCAAATCACACAAGTAGATAATTCAAATAGTTATTTTTGCAATTTTTCCCACTCCATATGACTCTAAGAATTCCTAATGCTGAACTGATAGAATTTACCTTAAGTTTGCAGACCAAAACTCATTGACCAGCAACTTCATTATTTCTTTGTATTCTTCATTATTTTGTAATCTTCATTATTTTTTATAAAAAATATATACTGAGACAACTTACATATAACATATATGAAAAAATAAAATATGGGACTTTTGATTTTCATAGGCAGACTCTTAAACCTTACCAGGAAAAAAAAAAAAAAAATTGCTATCTTATGTATCAGAGAAACAATGGACTATACTTCTGAAATTTAATAAAATTTTGTGTAAGAGAAATGATATAAAATTATGTATTTCTGCAGAAAATGGATATAAGTACAGAGAAATTATTTTAAGTAAATCAAAGAATAAATAGAGAATATACTCAAATGTTGAAGTCAACAACAGAGGAAAGGGCAGAAATCTTTTTATATCAAAATATATGTTGAACATGGAGGCCCAAGTTGATCAGACAGAGCATTGGCAATGGAATCCATAGACAGACTGACTCAAAGACAGTTCGACAACTGCCAACAAGACTGTTGGGAGTTCTGTCAAAGAGCCAAAGGCTGGGATTACCACCCAATGCCTGGCATTCTCCTACTTGTGTTTGAAGCTTTCTCTCTTATATTTCATCCAATATTTTTGTTTGGCTCAAACGCATCAAGAATTCACAGATTTTTTTAGATCATTACATGTTCTTATTTTCAAGAAATATAACATTAGTTGTAAAAGAGCACACTTTTTCTCTGAAGTGTAAAGACAATTTTGGTGACTTGCTTTAAGTTCAACTAGAGAAATCAGCATTATAGTCTAAATCTTTATTAGGTTATTCTTCACCCACAAAATAAGAAATACACATTTATAATATAAAATAATTTACTGTTTCATTGTATCATAAACTGTTATAAAACTGGTCTTTCCATAGCTCAGATGCCTGGTCGTCACATGGCCCCTGAGGCTCTACATGGATAAGTTGGCCCTCTGATGGGTTCCAATGATAATGAAGGTGGTGATAAGGAGAAGTAGTTGCTACTTTCTTGAGTTATGAGGAAGGCAGGAGGGCAGGACAACCTTTTCAGGGACAAGATATGTGTGCTCCATTTAATTTGCCTGCTTAGTTGCTAGGCAATGAGGTATATGAGTTTTGGCCTATAACTCTAGGCGAATTCTTTCATTAGGCAATTCATCTGCCATTAGACAAATTCCACATGAGGAAGTCTTGGAGTCTATACAGATAATCCAATTTTTTACTGAGCTTAGAACTGTGATATCCTACTTGGAAAGCTTACCTTTGGATCTCGAAGGAAGAGAGCCTTAAGGATCAGTGAGTGTACATCCCCAATGGCTGGGTAATGCATCAGAAGGCCGAGGCAGGTCTGGTAGTTACTAGAGATTACTAAATAAGAGGAAAAAAATAATTCAGAAGCAATATTTCTTAAGATGTTTGCATTACTGAGTAAAAAAATTGCAACTTAGAGTCAAAGAAAGGAAACCAACAACTCAATTGATTTGATAAAAGGAAATAGGGGGAAGGGACCTTTACCAACTGGCCTTTGAAACAACACGCTGTATTGTTAACTGCCATTTAATGTATGAGCTACGAGCACTTATTCTCAGGGGGGTGCTGGAAGGAAGAGCGCCTCAGATACAGTTATGTGTGTGCGTTTGCAATATAAATAAACTCTTGAAGCAGGCATATTTACTGCCATTTACATGGCTGTGTTAACTGTCTCCCGTTTTGCTGCTTAGAAATTAGAAAAATCTCATGAATGGGAAGAACCAGTTTAAAATTTTCATAAAATATTTATCCTGATATTATTATGTTTCATAACTTACATGTTACATAATAGTCTTTTGTACATATAAATATTACATAATATAAAAAAATTTGTAAAATATAATTTCTTCCAATTATTTGTTTTCCTAAAGGTAACAAGAAATTTAGGGACAATATCTATGCAGTATTTCTTGGAGGAAAATGTCAAAATCTTCATAGATTAGCCTAATGTGTGTCATAGACTGTCACTTAATTTTTTTTCCAAATCAACCTAATTATGGGCACAATTATTAAACACATCTTTCAGGCAGGTCTATGTAAACTACTCCATTTCTTGGCAATCCATCTGTCGTGGCTGTCAGTGTTGGGCCCATTAAGGACGCTTGTTCTGTAAACCACATGGCCTGCCTCCACATTACTGACTGAAGAAACCTGACAGTTACAACTTCCTGTAGCTGCAACCAAAACTTTTTTTTATTAATCAAAGCAGTTAGTTGAAAAAGATTCTATAGGAAAACAACTGTAATTCAACAGAAACAACACAAATCACAAAACAAATAATTGTGATAAGAAATACCATTGATTCTTGGATTTTTTCCTCTCCTTCTGTTGAAAACATTTCTTGCTATAGCTTCCCACCCCTCCCTCTTCCCATGAACATTATGGGGAAAGGAGACAGGACTGGGCAAAATGAATAATTATAATCTATGTAAGGAACCACTTTATCATCTTCATCTCCGTTGCTGATCTGACAGCTTGTAATTTCATACATCTGCTTTCATTTGTAAAGCACTCACTTATCCCACCCTCTCCGTATCTGTTCAGACTCTCCGTTTCTTACTTGTTCATTCTGCCATATTCGCAGTGACCTGCTGTCCTTTTTTCTCTAGAATTCAAAAAGCTAGCATACTGAGAACAATATACTGTTTTCACATACAGTCTTCTTTGAGATCTAACAAATAAATAAAACTTCGATAATTCATTTGAATGACTCATAAAGTTATTCTCCCAAATGCTATAATGATTATGTATCAGTAACTGACCCAGGGAGTATTCTTGTATACTTTGAAAATGGTTGTGGGCTTGGGGTTCAAAGATGTGGTTCTGAATCCTGGGACACCACATGAACCTTTCATAGAAAGTTGCCTGAGGTTTAAATGACATAATCTATGTGACTGACTTATAGCAGCTGCTCTAAGCCTGTTACAGGTAACCTCTCTGAGCTTAAGTTTAGTTATCTGGAAAACTTTCTCATTTAAAAAAATCATATGCTTACTTCATTCAGTTCAATCATTATTTGTTGAGTACCTAATCCACGATACGCCCTATGTTAGAGAGGACAGAGACGAGCAAAGCACAGTCCTTGCCCCGAAGAAAAGTAAACTACAGACGAGCAGATGTGTAACAACAGGTTATTACTACTACCATCACTAAGATGACGGCCAATTATTGAAGGCTTTCTGAGACCAGGCCCTATGCCAAGAATGTAACCTGCAGTATCTCATTTAGTTTCTATGATAATCTTATTATAGGGGTACAAGTATCCCTGTTTTACAGATGAGAAAACTGAACTTGGAAAGGTTATGTCATTTGCCCAAATTACATGCCCCTTAGTGTATGAGGCCAGGTATTGTAAATATTTAGAAACAGGCATAAATTATTGCACTTAGGTATAAAATAGCATATAAAACAAATAATCATGGATTAAACATAAAACAAAAATAAAGAGCTAACAACAAAACCTTAAGTTAAGGCTTTAACATCATTTTTTGAGCCTCTCCACTGAAAACAAAGCCAACGTATGTGTAAGAGTCTTGCAAGGTAATCAGGCATGCAGAGGACATCTGATGAATGCAATGTGCTCTGAAAAAATATTCGTTGAGGGCTTACTATGTAGAGAAAAAAATACATAATTACTACAGTGTCTTCAACTAGTTAAAAACCCATACTATTTTAATTTCCCAATTGTAAAATGGCAACATACAAAATGGACTTCCAATGGACCAGACAACCAGGTGAGGGTAGGGAGCAAATCATAAAGAAAAACATCAGAGCTTTCACTCTTCGCACGCTGGGAGAAAGCTGAGTATAAAACAGGGTCATGTCCTGCTCCGTATAAAGTGATTTTTGCCCAGCGGTGAAGACCCTCCTAAGATTTTGCCCTGGATACCCCTCATTCATCTAGCAGCTCTGGGCAGACTAACCTAAGGCTTTCAAATTAAATTTCTGGAAAGAGGACAATTTCAAATTCCGAGTAGCCCACTCTTTGTCTAATAAAAGACTTTACTTAAGGATTTACACCGTTAAACTAACAGTGTTGCCAACTGAAAGGCAGTAAGTAAGCAAGTGTCAAGCTCAGAATTACTGGTGGCTAGGACGCAAGCACTGGAGCAAGGACACGGCACTAGGACAGTCAGAATGACGGCGTGTTAGCTCCACAGCACCACCAGCACTGGCTATGAAATTTGGAGCAAACCAGTTAACTGCAGGCCTGAGTTTCCTCCACCATCTCTAGTTCATGACCCATAAGGCAGTGATTGTCAACCTTTTTCATCTCATAGCACACATACACTGATTATTAAAATTCTGTGGCACACCAAAAATATACTGTATATATTTGTTGCCAATCTGACACAAGAAATAGGTACAATTTTACTGTGCTGGCTGTTCTCAATTTTATATTTGACAACCTAAGGGAAAAGTGGTCAGTGCCCCTGACTAAACAGTCAGGCACTGCATGTTTTAAAAATTCTTGGGGCATGCCAGTTGAAAATCGCTGCATTAAGGGAATAAATGCAATGATACAGTGCAAAAACCTGTAAGTCTGTTTAATGAAAGTTTATCATTGATGTAATAATTGTGGGCATGTGCTCAGAATCCGGGTCCAAGTTCTATTTCTACATCTGTAAAGAATTATGAAAATGAAGTCTGAAAAAATTAGTGTGTATTAAAATTTAGGGAAGAAACTGTAAGCCTTATTCATAGTTTTGCTTCTCTTAATTTTTAATCCAAGTGAAGGAAAACCATAGGTCAGGTTATTTATTTATTTATTTATTAGATAATATGAATACAGATCTATAGGCATATTTTATTTCTTTAGGTTTAGTGATATTTAATATCATACTCAGAATTATAGATCTGTCAGTGGAAATGTTTAAAGTATAGATAATATTCAAGGAAGAAGTCCTGACAATATCCATTTCTTTTCTTTAGACTTTGTGTATTCACTCATTTAACAAACATTTATTAAATAACTGCTTTGTTCCAGACACTGAGTTATCTTAAGGACATGAGAAGAAATAAGACACAATCTCAACTTTCTCTTCATATTCCAGTGGAAGAGAAGCATAAACCTAATTGCAATACGGGACAGAGTTGAGAATATGTACTAAGGCCTGTGACAGCTAGGATGGAAGAGTGTGAGATCAGTGAGGGTGTCAGCCACCAGCCTGTGGAAGCGCACAGAGGCAGGATACTGAGTGGCCCCTCCGGCAGGGGTGCTAAGAAGAAATGGAGACACTGAGGGCAAAAAACAGGCTGAGATCCTGCTTATAAATAGGAGATACGGAGTTTAGATTTTACTCTGTATTTGTTAGCATTCTCTGAAAGGCTGTAAGTAATGTGATCAGATCGGTCTTTCAGAAAGATTGACGCTGGCACAGGGTGATCATTGGGAGGGAGGAGGAGAGGTCCAAGGGGCAGTGGGCCAGGCACAGATCCTGGTAACACTAGGGAGGAGAGAGAAATACCAGAAATAAGGAACGGGAGGAGGGGTGTAATGGGCAGAAATTGCTGGAAAAATGGATAGGACTTCCTATGTGATTACATTTGGGGAGTGTGTGCTTATGACAAAGAAACAGAAAAGCAACAGCAGACAAAAACTTAATAAAAATATTGCCAAATTTACATAAAGCTACTTAAAGGATAGAGCAACTTTTAATTATGTCGTTGTGGAAGTTTTAAAGGTAGTTTTTACGCAAGTTATACATGTACTTAGAGTCCAATCATTCTCTAAGTCTGGTTATAAAAACAGCCCATGCAGTCTCTGCCCCCATTTCCCACACCCCGGAAGCACTCGCTTTCTTTTAGCTGATTAAAAAAATAGTTACCTTCCATAGTGTGAAAAAAGATGCTAATGCTACTAGCTCTTATTTTAAATGTTATCAACTGACTTCACATTCAAGAAGACAAAGCTGTAATTCGTCCTTAGCGCTGAAACCCACACTCCCACTGACCTCCACACCACACGGGCATTCTTTGTCTCCCCCTCCATGAAGGAATATCATTTTAGTGAGATCACTTTTTAGTTTTCACTTTTATTACCTGGCAAATGTTAGCACAGCTGAGCATTACAGTGCATCACGACTGCTTTTCCTTCCTTGCACAGCCTCTTTTCCTTCCTGGAGTTTATAACTGTTCTGTATTTCATTTCCTTGTATATGTATTTAACATTAAATTAATCTTAAATGCTCTCTCAGGTATATGAATCTCATCTCAATACTTTTAAAAATTTTAGGTATTTTGTTAATTTCAGGAACCTTCTGGCAAGACCTTTGGCCTTGCCCCCGCATCCCAGACACACCCTTTACCTCCTGCAGTGTTTATCTATTTCCAGGAGT